AGCCATAGCTGAACAGTGTCTCCCCTAATGGTGTGTTATGCCAGAGGCTGTATTGCCTTTATAAGAAAAAATAAAATGCTAACAATATCCAGTGAAAAAAATAAGGGAACACCAGAGATAGAAAGAGTGAGTACTGTAAAAGATTCCTATCTTAATTTTCAGCGTCCTTTTACAACATGAAAAGTACACTACAAGAAAGTTAAATGTGCCACGGAAACAAAGTAGAGTGTATTGCATAGTTCACCTATAGGAAGACCTTTCTTTTCGCAATATGCTTAGGTTTTTATGGATTTCAATTTACAATTTTAAAAAGCATCTACCCTAGTTCCTTGATGGCTTTAATTAAAATTCCAGCGAAAAAATGTAAGCAGTCTATTTTCACAGTCCATATTTTAATGAAAAGCAAGCAAATTCCACTTTCTTTCTTGATTTCCTTTAAACAAACAAACAAAAACCAAAAAACAACAACAACTTTCTTCTGAAAGTTAGGGAATAAAAGACTCTGAGTTTCATATCTTTAAAGGTGATTATTGATCAAGCTAGCATGGTAAAAAGAGTGCACATTCCTTCAAATGCGTAACTAATTTTTAAATGAAAATAATTTAGATTACCTTTGAGCAAAAAGATAAAACAGGAACTGAAATTTAAACCAGGAGATTTACAGAAATCTAGACTGAATGAGAGAAAGTAATATTTCATATAATCTAATTTAAATTTAAAATTAATGTTTACAGTTCCTTTAATCAATCCCAAGTCACAGGAGATAGGACAAGGGGTCCCTTGGGAGATGGTCCTCGAGGGCAAGGGTGCCCAGGAAAGCTGGTCATTCTTCAAGGAGGCACTCTTAAAGGCGCAAGATAAAGCTATTCCCAAGTCCCTAAAATCAAGCAGGAAGGGAAGAAGACCAGCCTGGCTAAATAGAGAGCTTCGGCTGGAACTCAGGAACAAAAAGAAGGCTTATAATCTCTGGAAAAAGGGCCTGGCAGATAAGGAGAAATACCATGAAGCGGTGAGGATATGCAGGGGGAAAATTAGAAGGGCCAAGGCTCAAGTGGAGCTCATCTTGGCCACCAATATTAACAATAACAAAAAGGGGTTTTTTCAGTATGTTAACAGCAAGAGAAAGGTTAGGGATAATGTGGGCCCACTGATGGATGAGGTGGGCACCCTAGTAGTGGAAGACACGGAGAAAGCAGAGTTGCTGAATGCCTTCTTTTCTTCAGTCTTCACTGTTAGGACTACCCCTCATGAATCTGTGGCCTTAGAGGCAAGGGGGATGGTATGGAGAGAGGAAATTTTTCCTCTAGTAGAGGAGGGCCAGGTTCGGGACCACTTGGCCAAACTGGACATTCATAAGTCCATGGGGCCTGATGGGTTGCACCCACGAGTGCTGAGGGAGCTGGCAGACGTTATCGCTGGACCACTCTCGATCATCTTTGAGAAGTCGTGGAGAACAGGAGAGGTGCCTGAGGACTGGAGGAAGGCCAACATCACTCCAGTCTTCAAAAAGGGCAAGAAGGAGGACCCTGGGAACTACAGACCAGTTAGTCTCACCTCTGTCCCTGGGAAGGTGATGGAGAGACTCATACTAGATGTCATCTCCAAACAAGTTGAAGAGTGGGGGGTTATTGGAAGTGGGCAACACGGGTTTACCAAGGGTAAATCATGTATGACCAATCTGATAGCCTTCTATGATGCCATAACCGGTTGGTTGGATGAGGGGAGGGCAGCAGATGTCATCTACCTTGACTTCAGCAAGGCTTTTGACACTGTCTCCCATAACATCCTCATTGGGAAACTGAGGCAGTATGGGCTGGATGAGGGGACAGTGAGGTGGATTGAGAACTGGCTGTGTGACAGGACCCAAAGGGTAATTATTAATGGAGCAGGTTCAAGTTGGAAGCCTGTAACCAGTGGAGTCCCCCAGGGGTCAATACTTGGACCCGTGCTGTTTAATATATTCATCAGTGACCTGGACGAGGGGACAGAGTGTATCCTCAGCAAGTTTGCTGATGATACCAAACTGGGAGGAGTGGCTGACACCCCGGAGGGCTGTGCTGCCATCCAGCGAGACTTGGACAGGCTGGAGGGCTGGGCAAAGAAGAACCTCATGAGGTTCAACAGGGAAAAGTGTAGGGTCCTGCACCTGGGGAAGAAAAATGTCAGGTACCAGTATAGGTTAGGGGTGGACCCGCTAGAGGCAACTACTGAAGAGAAAGATCTAGGGGTCCTGGTGGACAGTAAAATGACAATGAGTAAACAGTGTGCTCTTGCGGCCAGGAAGGCCAATGGTATCTTGGGTTGTATAGGGAAGAGTGTAGCCAGCAGGTCAAGGGAAGTCATTCTCCCCCTCTACTCTGCACTGGTGAGGCCACAACTGGAGTACTGTGTCCAGTTCTGGGCTCCCCAGTTCAAGAGGGACAGGGAACTACTAGAAAGAGTCCAGCGTAGGGCTACAAAGATGATTCAAGGATTGGAGCATCTCCCTTATGAGGAGAGACTGAGAGAGCTGGGACTCTTTAGTCTGGAGAAGAGAAGGCTGAGGGGAGACCTTATCAACGCCTACAAGTATCTCAAGGGAGGGTTGAAGGAGGAGGGAGCCAGACTCTTTTCAGTGGTTCCCACCGAGAGGACGAGGGGCAACGGGCACAAGTTGGAACATAAGAGGTTCCACTCAAATATGAGGAGAAACTTCTTCACGGTGAGGGTGACAGAGCCCTGGAACAGGCTGCCCTGGGAGGTTGTGGAGTCCCCTTCCTTGGAGATTTTCAAAACCCGCCTGGATGCAGTCCTGAGTAACGTGCTCTGACAAGCTCTAGGCAATCCTGCTTCGGCAGGGGAGCTGGACTAGATGATCTCTATGGTCCCTTCCAACTCTAGAAATTCAGTGAAATTCAGTGAAATTCAGTGAAAGGGGAAATGGCCTCAAGCTGCACCAGGGGAGGTTTAGATTGGGTATTAGGAAACATTTCTTCATAGAAAGGGTTATCCAGCATTGCAATAGGCTGCCCAGGGAAGTGGTTGAGGCACCATCCCTGGAGGTGTTCAAAAGACAGGTTGACATGGTCCTCAAGAATACGGTTTAGTGATTTTTTTATTGCTTATTTCTTATTTATTTTTTTGTCAGAGTTAGGTTGATGGTTGGACCAGATGATCTTTAAGGTCCCTTCCAACCTAGACGATTCTATGATTCTAATCATAAGAAGAAATATTGACTCCACAAATCCTGAAATACCTTTTAAATAGCTAGATGTGTATACTTGACACCTTTGTGATCAGTGAGCACTACACGACTGTTAGAATATCCTGCTGCAAATGGTTCTGCAAAAGAGATACTGAGAAAAACAGAATAATGAAAATACAAGGCTGAAACCTCCTCCCAAAACCACTCAGCTTTTTGGTGGTATTTTCTCCTTTAATGCATGCAAATTTTGATAGCACAGCTGAAAACAGTTAACAGATAGACATGCTGTTACACTTTATAATTCAGTTAGTTAATTTCAGCTAGCTGTTGATTCATTATGCATAAACCATCTCAGAACTTACCATTTTTAGCAGCCTCATTTCAGTCAGGGATTTGGTTTTAGATGTTCGTTTCCATACATATGTTTCAGTTTTCCTGGACCACATAAATTAACGCAAAGTTTGCATCCATTTAGTGCCCTTTCTACTAAAGTCTAAAGACTAAAAATTAGGGTAAAAATTAGGGCTACTGGGGCAAAATAGCCCCTAAAATTTCCGTTAGAGCCCCTAGCAAATATACTATATGGTCCAGACTTGGATTGTACAGTACTTTTAACTTAAGTCTCACCTGACTGAATGGAAAAGGACAAGCTGGCCTGAGGCTATACCAATTTGATTTGGTAAAAGAGCCCTAGAATACTGTGTTGGAAGGTATAAAAGCAACAGAGACTTAAAAAAAAAAGACAGGGGGCTGAAGGCAGAGATGATCCAGCAGCTAATTCAACAAATGAGTTTCAATAATACCCTGATTCTAACTATGCCTCTGCCACATGGCTAGGTGATACCAGAGGAAACCACTGCTGTCAAAATACCTTGCATGTATAATCCTTATTTTCTGACCTGAAATACTTAGTTCTGATTTGCCAAAGATAAACCTATTACAGCTAGAGTTTAATAGTGGAGCTATGAAGTCCTTGATACACTGAAAAATGAGGTTTCTACTGTATAGCATTGGGCACCCTCCAGTCTTGTATCTGCAAACTGGAGATAATACCCCCTCACCTCATAAATGTATTATGAAAATAAATTCATTAAACATTTATGAGACTTTCCAGGACAATAATGACACTTACCACAAAAATCAGTTCTTAATTCAGAAAAGCTCTGAACATCATGCTATGTATAACACATGGGCTACCACACCGAACAATTGTAACGACATAGTATCACACAGCTAATTATATAGCAAGTATGAACCATCATAACATACTCTAAGCAAGTCAGAGTCTCACATAAAACCATTCTGGGAATGACACTGAAAACTGCACCAAAACAAATACAGAAAACATTTTAAGAATACACACCCTAAGTTTGTTGCATCTCCTAATTTAAAAGCAAACCGAAACAGCGGAAAAGATCAGTTCCATCATTTGGCACTATACTGATGGTTGACTCATGTAGATCACTGTAAGACCACTAGCACACAAAGAAACAAGATAATTGACAACTACGACATGAAAGATCTGAAGGAGCAATGGACCATTTACTAGAGGGTTTCACACAATTAGAGATGAAGCTGCAAGAGAGTCCAAGACCCTGGGAGACTTCACCCAGCACTCTGAAGAAAAGGGACCTCAGGACATATTCTCTCGAAACTCTCAAACCTGGCATCTTCTTCCCAGAGCACATCTCTGATCACAGCCTTATCATCATATCTGTTTTTTATTTACGGTCACTTTCCCATCCCCCTCTGCCAACCTCTCCTTATGCAAAGGTAAATTTGTGCATGCAGTTTATGTGCACGGCAGCATCCTCACCTGAGTTTACGTTCCACCTGCTATTTAACCTTCACCTTTCATTTCAGGTATTCATCTCTCCACCAAGTTACCTCAGCAGAGTGGCATAGTTTACTTAGGGAAGAAGAAAAAAGAAGAAAGACTCATAAGTTGGAGTCCTGGAATCAGACTTGTTACAGCAGTTCATTTGGGGCATCTACATCCACTGGTCATGTCATACAGGCTTTCATGATAAAAAAACCAACAACTACAGCAAACACTAGACTCCTTTGCAAAAGCAGAGAAAAGAAAGGCAGAAAAAAAGCTTTCAAGCATGAAGATGGCAAACATGATCAAAACAATGACGTTTTCCTACGCTTATTGCTCTGAAGTAGGTCAACCAGTTAGTCTAAAATAAAGTTTTTTAAAACAATAATACCACCATGATGCAGAACTCAGCATTGACATTTTCTGTCTGAACTATTTAGCCTTAACAAAAAAGTTTCAAACTACTGAAGATGGTATTTTATAATGGGAACCACCTGGCAAGCCAGTGATGTGTTACACAATCTGTAACATTATGTTTGTCTGCAAAGCAAACCAAAGGAAAATTAGTTGAATAAAACCAAGTAAACTCTTCAGAATGGCATTTTATGCCTTTGAAAATGTACCCAGTCATTTTGGACCGTGATCCTTTTACTTTAACATATAGCATGCTATAGCAAGTTAGTCCTTCAGACATTATTTTACTTCACCGATAAGAGGAGGTTTGTAACAACATGCAAAGACAAATGCTTCATGTCACTCACTCATAAAAGAACAGCACTTAAATTGCTATCTTCAGCTGCCATTGCTCTTGCTTTTAATTGGGTATCCTGATACAACATTTCCCAGAGCCTCACCAGAAATCTACTGACTGGAGAGAGGGGAGGGGGAAAAATCTGCTAGAGACAACTCTCCAGTTCCAGCAGGGTGTACTCCATGGCCACGGCTTCACAAAGGACAAAACCTAACCCTGAAGGAAGACAGGAAACATTGAGAAAGTTCACTCAACTGCTGAGAGAATTAGGGGGTTCGCACACGACAAAACAGGCCAGGACACCTAAGGTAGTTAATTAGAGGCATCACTTTTTCTTAGAGCAAGGACAGAATTTAATAATATACATAAGCCTTCGTTTCCTTTAAGACATAGTAACAGAGAAGAAGAGGAAAAGATATTTTGAAATATGTGTGGAAAATAATCATGATCTGAGAAAACAGGCAGAGAAAAAAACAGAACGAGAATATATGATCTGAACCAAGCACAACACAAAAATACTATGATGTTCTAACATTCAAGGAATAAAATATTAACAACAAAAACCCCCAAAGAAACAGAAACATGCTTAAGTCTATCAATAACAACAGGAGACTGCCACGGGGGAAAAGACACAGTGGACATACACCTTCATGAAAGTAATGTAATTTAAGGTGACTAAAAGGAAGCTTTTCCAGGAGGTGGAATAAAAAATAAAACTAAGATTAGCAAGGGTAAAGAATAGCAAGGATAAATTTCAGTGAAAATTCCTGCTGAAGTTGTATTCCTGACATTTCAGATTTCCTTGCCAGACCACACAGACATTACTCAGACTCTGAAGACCAACATCAGTTTCCTTCACTTTGCGTTTTGCCTTTTTCAGCTCATGTCTTTGTAGTCTCAAATTCTGCCATTTAAATTATTGTAAGAATAATTTAATAACACTACAGTGTTGTAACTAGTTCCACAAAACTATTTGGTTACTACTTGTCTACAAACCTATAGGACCAACTAAACTCGCAGAATCTACTTCATTGTCCAGTAAACCACTCATTTGCTGGCATTTGCACTTCCGATCTTCTCCTAGCTCAAGTACACCCAGTAATACATATGCAACTTTGCTATCATTAACGGTAATACAGAAGCATTCCTGAGGCTGAAACCAGAAACATCCTTCTCAACTAGTCACTGTTTCAGTAAGAAATTATACCATTTCAGACCTTTCAGGCCCTGTAGAAAAAGCAATGATGGGATCTGCCTATAAGGAGAGTAGAGTAACACAGTTTAAAATAAAAAAAATAAATAAACAAACAGAACTAGGTCTTGAATTTAAAAAAAACAGATGTTGACAGAATACAAGGGACTTACTAGCAAGGTTAACTGAGAAGCTCATGAATCTGGATACAGAGAAGGACTACAATTTATTCAGGTAAAAGTAAAAAAATCAATCAGAAGTCTCTCAGCCCTTCACTTGCAGAACTAATTTGGTGAGAAAGTACCTCAAAGAGCACACAGAAATCAACAGACCACCAAAACTTCATTAAAATAATAACTGTAAGGAAGAATTTATTTTTAAAGAGATAATTAACAACCTGAATTAGACTTTGCAACTGCACGTACCGAAAGATTCTTCAGTTTTCCTGAAGAAGAGTAAGGGATATGGTTACCAGTATACTGGCAGCCTTCAAATTTTTATTTGGATTAGCTTTCAAGAGTGCTGGTTAAACTATTTTATTCCTACACTGAATATCAGTTATGCCCATTCAGCAGCAAGATGTACAATGGAAACCAAACTCCAAGCATCAGCGACAGAAGTGAAAGCCCAGAAACTTAATGCACTGAGGTTAGCAGCATGGGATGACCTCAGCTGTGCTGCTCTAGAAATGCTGGCAGTTACCTCCAGGGCCAGTAGCAAGACTTTTTAATCTTGACAGTCAAATGAGACACCAGGTGGTGGAGAAAAAGTATTATATTACATTTATATTTATATCTAAATGGAAGAATGGCAGCTACAGGCTGATCAACCCAAAATGAAATCCCTTAACTTTGGAAATGCCTGTAAGAATGGAATAAAGACAGTAAATAAAATAGGCTAAGCTATGACAATGAAACTGCATAAAAATGGCCATGCTGGATGAGATCAAGACTTTATTTAGCCTATCATCTTGTCTCCAACAGTGATCAAAAACAGCTGCTTAAAGATTGCAATGAATAGTCTCCTTAAGCACCCTCCCAGACTATAACCACCTGAGGCCCAGGGTTTTCTCTAAGACATGTGCTTCATTCTACACATCTAGTTGGTTTCTAGGCTTTTCTGTGCATTTAGAAAGCTCCCTCTCATTAACTTTGTCCGCTATCATCTTCAATAAAGGAAAACTCATATTCTTCATAACGTATATTAGCAATATGTTCCACAATTTAAGTATACACTGCTTGAAAAGCCACCTTTGATTGATTGCTGATTACTTTATAGTTTCCTGGTTTTCTAGATGCACAGAAAGCAGCAGTTTTGGGTCAGGAGGAAACAGCAATCAAACTCCTTAACCAGACTGTGTCTTTTGTCATACAATATTTTTATTAATTACCCTGTCAAAAATGTTCTAAGTGCTCTGAGGAAACCTGCTGATCAAGCAGAGCTAGGAGGCAATACACAGGGTATGAAGTAAATCTTACAGACACTTTGGAGTGGAATAAAACTCCCATTGTGTGATATGCAAGATTATAACCATGAGAACAAACTAAATAGTTTTGTTATACCGACTGGAAGTTCATTAATTCATAGACCTGTGTACACTCCATGCACAAGGTAATCACAGCATGGCTGTCAGCTGCCAATCTGACACCAAAACGGAAATGCAACTTCAGGATGTAAAAAAACCAGACAGTTTCAATAAAGATAGGCCACACTCAGTGACGTTCTGGTGAGACCTCACCTACAGTATTGTACACATTTCTATGAAGATTAACTCAATCAAAATAGACATAGAAAAGCTCTCTGTTTCATCAAAGGGACAGTCTATCAAATTAATAAAAGGAGTAGGACTTTCTTTACTAATGTACCAACACAAGTACAAGCAGGGGAAATATTCAAGATCTACCTGAGCTGAGTGGCAACACTGGCAAAAAAAAACCTGGGGGCTTAAAAAAAATATAAAAAAAAAATTAAAAGATTCCAAGTTGTTACATTAATTGTTATAAAATAATAGGAAGTAGAGAATAAGAGAATAACAAAAGAAACTGATAACGTTTAAAATGGAGCGTGGTAAACTCACAATGAAATATGTGATCTGCCTCCAACAGGAGGGTGCCAGATTCAGAGACATAGTTTGCTCTTTCCAGTCATCTATACTTAAATAAAAACATAGACCACCACACAGAAAAGTCATGGTATTTCAGATAATATAAACTGAGTTTAAGGCTGGAATGTCTTTTGCTCCAATTTAATTTTCCTTTTCTAACTCACAAAACTGTGAGGCAAAGCTTTTTTACCCCACCATCTGCCTTCCTTCACCATCAGCATCTCTCCCTTTTCTTCCTTTCCCTCTTCCTGCATTTTCTCCAAGTTCTTCATTCTATGTCAATGGTATCAGCTCCTGTGACATCCTGAAGTTTGACCAAGAAATAAAAAAAAAATCACAAATAATTCTTATTCCTACTTTCCATAGTTATCATTTTCTTCACACTTCCAGTGAAAATTACCAGTCTTGTTACACAAGGAAAGGATGAGCAGCAAAGGTCCAAGAGCAGTCTGCAAATCAAGATAACACTGTGTCAGCATTCATCCAGGACATATTCCTTGGAGAATAACACCACAGAACCTTTCTAAAAGGGAAATTGTTAAATTCTTGATGAAAACAATGCAACACGTTTGCCTTCTCAATTAGGAAAGTAAACTATTCATTTTCAAGATTTCTTTCCTGATAATGTACACACTGCAATGATACAAAGGACACACCACTATCTCCTACTTGGCCTGTGAGTCTCTACAGATCTTTTACAGTTTCATTATTCCTCAGTTGTGGTTCAGAAAGCACTAAGGTAATTTGTTGCCCTTTGATGTCCTCAATGAAAACCATCCCTTCAGAGAAACCTGTTTCTATAGAGATAGAAACAAGATGTGCTTCCTAAAACAAAGGAGGATGCCACACATGCATGAACTGAGAAAATTATGTAAAGTGCATGTCTATGTCATAGGCGACCAACAAGATCTGCAAGTAGTCTACCCCCAAGACCACAAAGCTCTGTGGATGCTCATTTATCATACATATATTTTGCATCTCAACTAAATGCCATACAAAAATCAGAAGCAGAAGGAAATCAGTGAAAGGGTACTGCTAAG